CTTTGACACCATTTCTCACCCTATCCTCCTCAATAGACTCTCCTCCATTGGTCTCTCTCACACTCCCCTCAGTTGGTTCCACTCCGACCTCATCGGCCGCACTCAGTTTGTCCAGCTCAAATCCTTCACTTCAAAGCCCTCCCCAGCCACCACAGGTGTACCCCAGGGATCTGTCCTAGGGGCCCCTTCTCTTCATCATCTACCTTGTGCCTCTTGGTCATATCTTCCGCAAATTTAATATCCACTTTCACTGCTTTGCTGATGAGACATAGCTCTTACCTTTCCTGTAAACCAAACTCCACACTCCCGCCCACCTCCGTCACCTCTTGCCTATCCGAACTCAAAACATGGTCTTAAATTAAATTCTAATAAAACTGAAATCCTCCTCCTTGGCACCAAATCCACTTTATCTAAAGTAAACAGTTTCTCCCTCAACATTGACAGCTCCTCAGTGTCCCCCTCCCCTCAGGTTAAGAGTCTGGGTGTCATCCTTGATAGCATGCTTACCTTCCACTCACATATTAACACCATCACCCGACCTGCTTATTTCCACCTCCGCAATATTAACAGACTTTGCCCTTCCCTCACCCCCCGCACCACTGCTATTCTTGTCCACAGTCTTGTCACATCCCGCTTAGATTACTGCAACGCCCTCCTCTTCAACCTACCTCAAAAGTCCCTCCATAAAATCCAACTGCTTCAAAACACCTCTGCTCGCATCATTACAAAACACCATCCTGGCAGCACGTCACCCCCGTCCTTCAGCAGCTCCACTGGCTCCCTGTCCAATACTGTCACGTAGCGAGATGATGGTGGACCCCAAAAAGCAGGCAGGAGGCAGGAGCAGGTTGTACTTGATGAATTGTATTTAGTAAAACACAGAGAAAACTGAATCCAAAACAACCAAAGTCCTAAAAAACAAAAATAATCCAAAGTATCAAACAAAACCCAAGCTGTAGCTAAAAACTAACAGTCAACAAAACATGATCGAGAACACGACAGCTACAGCAAACAAACAGACATGACAGCAAGAAAGAAACAATGACCCGACACTGAGTGGTCTTGCCGAGTCCTTTTAAAGCCATAATTAGATGACGGCCAACAGGTGTGCAGCTGCAGGGAGAACCCTGCAGTGCCACCTGTTGGTCACAAACACAATCATGACAAATACCGCATCCACTACAAACTGCTCCTATATACATATATGGCCATCCACAACCTGGCCCCTCCCTACCTGTCCGACCCTCTCCAGGTGCTTACCCCCACTCGCTCCCTCAGGTCCTCGTCCTCCCTCTGCCTGTCAGTGCCCCCTGCCCGCCTCAGCACGATGGGAGCCAGAACCTTCAGTCGCGCTGCTCCTCAGCTCTGGAACAATCCACCTCCGGACCTCCAAAACTGTACACCTCTCTCCACTTTCAAGTCCCGTCTGAAAACACACCTGTTCAGGACTGCCTACAACACATAATTCTTCCATTTCCTCTGTTTTGTGATTTTATGTCCTGTTTTTATATAATATTTATCTTATTTATTTTTACATTGTATTTCCTTTATTGTCTGTACAGTGTCCTTGGGTGGCATGAAAGGAGCTTTTAAATAAAATGTCTTGTTATTATTATTATTATCACTAACGCTGACCGACTGCCTACCAGACATAATGTGTGCCTACCACATTACATCGGCAGCCAAATGTCAACATAATGTTGTAGGCACCAACGAGACTTTTTCACCTGCAAAGCGCTTTTCTGATTCAAACATGCTGCTTGGTGGCTTGGATTTTATTTTTTTGTTGTCGGGGGCAGGGGGGAAGCGTCCATAATTAAAGAATCTACAGTCTTTGTAAAGGTGCGATGCTTCTCATGACGGTCGTCAAACACGTTAAAGTGACTTGCCCATAGATGAAAGATGCGCAGGGTGTGTAAAATAAATAAATAAAAACGTACTTGCGAATTTGGCCCGTAGCCAACAAACTGAGACTGAATCAACCTACCCTAAATGGCTTTTTTATACCTATCACTGAACAGTTGATATCGCCAGGAGAGATGTTATGATGTTGCAAAAGTTGACACTCACAGCAATACTGTGGCTAAAGGGGGAAACAGGCTGTGGGTTTGGAGCACTGATATAGCTGCTGACGACGGAGTCCTGAGTGGCAGTCCCATAGAGGTTAGCAACATGACCAGGGCTGCTTGTACCAGGGAAAGGTCCAGGCCTCGTTGCATCTGTTAAGAAAGAGTCACCGAGGGATTAGTTACATGAACAAAAACAGAAAAAATAAAGAAATAAATAAATCCAAAATACATTTGCAATACAGGCCGTTGTTGTCTCCCGCTACAAGTCCACAACTTTACACAAAAATATTCAGGGTTATATTATCTACCCAACTGAAATGTTTCAGGTGGCCCGGTAGTCCAATGGTTAGCATGCCGACTTCACAGTGCAGGGGTACCGGGTTCAATTCCAGCTCCGGCCTCCCTGTGTGGAGTTTACATGTTTTCCCCGGGGATGCGTGGGTTTTCTCCGTGTACTCCGGTTTCATCCCACATTGCAAAAACATGCACAGCAGGCTGATTGAACACTCTAAATTGTCCCTAGGTGTGAGTGTGAGCGTGGATGGTTGTTCGTCTCTGTGTGTCCTGCGATTGTCTGGCAACCAGTTCAGGGTGTCCCCTGCCTACTGCCCGAAGACAGCTGGAAGAGGCTCCAGCAGGCCGAGGTTAAAGCGGATCAGAAAATGGATGGATGGATCATTATTAACTGGGGAAATGGCAATTTTGTGACCGTCCACTCGCCATACACTTATCTTTAGTACGTTATCTCCAGCCCTAGAGGATTGCGCAGCAGCAGTAAGGCTAACTGGTTTGTAATGTCTGTGGATAGGGGAAAGTGGAGTCAGGTTTGAGAATGGAGCAGAAAGATGCTCACTGCTTCTTAGGTGAACCAACTTCAGTGCTTTAAAGTCAACTCCTGTAATCACGTTATTTCCAGCCCGAGAGGATTGTGCAGCAGCAGTAAGGCTGCATCATTTTGGAATGCATGGCTACAAGGATTTGTGCACTAATGTGTGCAGCATGCAACTGGTTCAGGGTGTCTCACGCCTACTGCTCGAAGACAGCTGGGATAGGCTCCAGCACGCCCCGTGACCTTTGTGAGGATAAGCAGAATTGAAAATGGATGGATGGATGGATGTGTGCAGCATGGTTCGATAAAACCTTTCCTAAGAGTGGCTATGACCCTGTACACAATTATCATTCCAATTCCCAATTTTAAAGCTCTGTTTATCCTCAATCCATCCATAGGCAGTTAAAATGGAAGTCTGAGCAGTTCAGAATAAACAGGAATGGAGACAGGACGGACAACAACTCTCCTCCCCCCAACCACCAGCTGCACCCACTCTCACTGAGGACTTCTCCTCCCCCTCCTCCTTCGATCAGCTCACAACAACCCAGTCTGTCTCCTGGTTCCTGCCTGTCCGTCACGACAGAGCAGGTGAGGAACCAACTGAGGAAGATGAATGTGAGGAAGGCAGCAGTTCCGGACAAGATCAGTTCCCGGCTCCTCGGGACCTGCTCCGACCAGCTGTGTGACATTGTCCAGCACATGTTCAACTTGAGCCTGAAGCTGGGCAGAGTTCTACAGCTGTGGAAAACTTTGTGCTTGGTCCCAGTGCCCAAGACCCCCCACTCTAAGGAGCTGAACAGCTACAGACTGGTGGCGCTGACGTCTCACCTGATGAAGATGCTGGAGAGACTCGTCCTCGCCTACCTTCGACAACTGGTGAGCTCGGCACTCGACCCGCTGCAGTTTGCCTATCACCCTGGCATCGGCGTGGAGGACGCCATCATCTACCATCTCCACTCAGTGCTGTTACACCTGGAGAAGGCTGGGAGCACTGTGAGAATCATGTTTTTTGATTTCTCCAGTGCCTTCAACACCATTCAGCCCAACTTACTGGGGGACAAACTGCAGAACGCCGGAGTGGACCACCACCTCACATCATGGATTACAGACTACCTCACAAACCGGCCGCAGTACGTGAGTGTACAGAGCTGTGAGTTGGACAGGCTACTCTGCAGCACTGGAGCACCGCAGGGACTGTTCTGGATCCATTCCTATTCATCCTCTACACCTCGGACTTCAGACACATCACTCCAACCTGCCACATTCAGAAGGTCTCCGATGACTCTGCGATTGTAGGCCTCATTACAATAGGACTCATTACAGAGGGAGACGATTGGGAGTACAAGGGACTGACGAAGGACTTTGTGGACTGGTGCCAGCAGAATCACCTCCTTATCAACCCTGGGAAAACTAAGGAGTTGGTTGTGGATTTCTGCAGGAAACAGTCCTAACCTGCACTGATGAAGGCTACGGACATAGAGAGGGTGACCTCCAACAAGTACCTGGGTGTTCTTCTAAACAATAAACTGGACTGGTCTAACAACACGGACGCCCTGATGAGGAAGGGACAGAGCCGACTCTTCCTACTCAGGAAACTGAGGTCTTTTGGGGTTCAGGGGTCACTCCTTAAGACATTCTATAACTCGGTGGTGGCTTCGGCCATCCATTATGGCATTGTCTGCTGGTCAGGCAGCATCTCGGCCCGGGACAGAAAGAGACTGGAGCGACTGGTCAGGAGGGCCAGTTCTGTCCTGGGCTGCTCCCTGGACACTCTGGAGGAGGTGGGCAACAGGAGGATGCTAGCTAAGCTAAAAGCTATGATGGACAGTCCCTTGCACTTAACTGAACTCTGAAACATTTATTTTTGTGCATGCAAACACTTTTTCTTCTTTCTACCCCCCAATTTTGCTGCTCTAGACTGTAAATTTCCCCAGTGTGGGACAAATAAAGGATATCTTATCTTAACTTATCTTAGCAGTGATAAAACACTATTTGACACATGAATAATGTAGGATACAGTTCCATTGAAATCCATTTGATGCATGATCATGTTGCAGGTAAAAACAGTCTCTAATCTATACACCAATCTATATTGGATGAGATTCAGAATGCTGCAATATAGTAGCTCGGTAATATTGTGAATACACTTCTCCATGTAACACAATCATCATTTAATGTTTGGGTTATTTAATTTTTTGGGGGTGGGGGTTATGAACTGAAGTCCATCTGCTCTTTACATAGTTGCTGTGATTGAGACAAATATGTGGCAGGTTTCCTTCTTAACAAACTTGAAATGACACAATTTTCTGCATTCCAAAGCTTTAACGGATTGTCTTTTGTAATGTCACCAACAAGCAAATAAGATTGATTGAATGAACCCATAACTAGACATGATCCATGGAAACGGTCACGTCTTTTAGGTAAAAGTGAAAGTGAGAAATTACATGTCTCATAATGTCAATAATAAAACAAAAGGTGGCAAATGAACGCCTCCCCAAAGGCAGTGCTCTCAAATGCATGCAGCATATTATCAGCAAATGTCCATAACATCCACAGACTCATGCTTCAGCACTTTTATCATTATCCTTGGAAAAAAATTAATGTGGGAGGTGTGGACACGTGAATTAACACACCTGGGCTCTTAAAAGGATCCGGGCTGTGAAGGTGTGGCTGAACAGCGGTGGGAGAATTGCAGGCAGAGCTGACATGCTCATTAGGTAGCATCTGAGCTGCCGTCTGTGGCCCGAGGGAGCCATAGTCAGCCATGGAGTAGTGTGCTGCGCCCCTCATGTCACCGCTGGTTCCAGCCAAAGAGCACAACCCATAATCAGGGAGTCCTGGGAGATGGAAGAAGTGAATATTTTTTCGAGCCTGCTGTCTTTGTATGTTGCTGTTGTGATCCCCAGCCAAGACTATCAATCACAAGGATTGACCTAATGATGTCAGGATAAAGTGTGAAGACATGGCCTATCAATCAAAATCATAATTTAGACCAGACATGTTTGAAATATACTCAAGACTAATTAACTCTGCAGCTATGCAAATTACATTGAAAACTGGATAACACAAACTACAATGGCATTGTCTTCATATTCGTAGCACCCCAAAGATTCAATCAACACTCTTTTGTATTGGAAAAAAAAAATGATTGAAGAAAATTCTCAACAGAAGCAATACGGGGAACAATGGTTAAGAGAACAAGCAATCACTTATGTCAGGCTGCGCTCATAAATCAGTGAAAATGAGCGGAATATGCCTCATCCATTTTCGATGTGACACCAAGAGGGTGATAAGCAAGAAATGATGGACCAGAGGAGTAGTTCAGTCTTACTTTGTATAACAGTTTGGCTTTGTTTAAAGTACGGGTGGAAATCCTTCTCTTAGAATTGTTCGTAATGAGACCTAACCATACTTCTCTCACTGTCAACATTGCAAATTTCAATAGTTTGGCTCGTATAACAAACAAAACAATTTGAGTATTGTGTGTAGAAGCACATTTCCACTTTTTAAAATTGGTAACAAGGGCAGGCCTGGCAAAGAAATATCAAGAATCCAAAGGGCGAGGCATCAGTAAGCCTGTTAAATCATGCTGCCAACCAAAGAAATTAAAACCATATAAAATAATGAGATGTACAATAGGGTAACATTTTAGAAAACATTAAAACAACCACAATAAAAAAATGTTCCATGCATATTCAATCAACGCTGCTAACATCAAAAACACCAAACGATGCACAGGAGGATACAATAATTATCTCACAGTGTGATTTGAGTGGGAGTATTAAGTGTTACAATGAATTTTAAAAAATGCATGGCGAGTGTGTCAGGCCACACAGAATACAGACAGAGCATTTACCTGCCCCTGTGTTCTGCCCGTATGCCATGTAACTGCCCCCTCTTCCATGGGTCCCCCTACCTGAGCCACGTGATGCTGCTACTGCTGCTGTTACTGGTCCATACGCTGTGACTGGAAAGCCTGGGAAAATATGAATGCGGCATCCATCATTCCTCTATTTGGAATACATACGACAACTATAGAGGTAAGATAGTTTGCTCTGTTTGCTATCAAACTGAGCATTTTGCAAATAGGAGTAAAACAAATGAGCAAAGACAAGCATGTTTTCCGCACTTCAAGGCGGACCTAAAAGCATTCAATTTTCTCAAAAGCCGACAGTGATCCTTGTAATCCGATGCACCTTATATATGATATTACAGTCTCTTTATGTTGCCCATTGAGTTGTTTACTTGTTAGTGTTCCGATGCCATCGAGTGGTGATTATTAGCAAGGACCAATTGTAATGTAAAAGGATTCTGCCCGACACAAATTGACATGTGCATTCATCAACAAACACTCAAAAAGACAACTACTTTGTGAGCTCTGTGCAGCCATTATGAAACGAAGATACTTCCAAAAGCATAATTAGCTACTCACTAAATGAAGGAAGAAGGACACAAGCAAGACTTCGAAGGATATTTAGCCACTTGTGGATGTGAGCCCAAAGAGTTTGTGTGCTTCGATTGCCTTCATAACTTTTGTCTTTCATGTATTGTTTTTTTAATGCCAATTGTATTTATATGTTCCATGCCCATGTTTGTGACCAGTTTTCATGGGTTGCCAAGGAATAAACCCTGCATTTTTATGGACTTGGTGTCGTGCTTCATGCTACATCATGAGGGAGCTATATAGGGATCAATATTCTGATTTCTTGGAGGTAGTATTTAAAATATTCTGTGCTTTTGTTACAGCTGCAGCAGTTGCAAAAGCTCTTTATAAATAAAGCTGTATTGTTTGTATTGTATTCCTTTAGCATAACTAGTGGATGCATAATGCAATTGCAGCCAGGTCTCTATATTAATAAAGCTGTATTGTGTTGCGTTTCCTTTCACCTAGCTCCATCTAGTGGATGTATAATGCAACAGCAACCATTGTCGCTTATTTATATATATACATACATATATATATATATATATGAGAACAGTTTTAAAATAGGCCAATCATTGAAGGTGCACCTTATACAGTACTCTGAAACGCTTTATAGTGCGGAAAAAATTATGTATTATGTTATTTATGTTGACTTCATTCTTCTTAATTCCATTATCCTTTTTAACCATTCCAACATAGTTTCTATGATTTCCTCTGAAGGTTCCATTTGTTGACGTTCCATTAGAGCTGTCTACTTAGGTTCCATTGACTGATCCTCCATCATGGCTGTATCTCTTTTCCAGTGTTCATGATGTGAGATGAAAGCTTTGTTGGCCGTTGTTATCTCGACAGCAAAAATACTGTGTTTCCAACAATGCTGTTGCTTCGATACTCACAATGTTTCACTTGCAATGAATTGATCCATTAAAAGCTTCTTTCACCTCGAATGAATCGATCAGGAGAAAGTTCAAGTCCAATTGGTTTATCAGGAGAAGGTGCTCTTACTTTTGGTAGTGCAGTTTGCTGCTGGCTTGATTTATGTGCATTTTTTCCAGACACTATATGTGATTACATAAGTCAGGATAATGATGACACATCAAATATAAACAGTGACATAGTTCCTATCTCTTGACACATACATGTACAATGCCATGCTCAGGAACACTTCAGAATATCATTCTTAGTTAAAAAAAGTTCATCGCTACATCTCAACTCAACTGTATATATAGAGCACCTTCAACTCAACTCAACTGTAATTATAGAGCACTTTAAAACAACCACCGTTGCATACAAAGTGCTGTACATGGAGGAAATATCATATAGACAACAATAAACACCAAATCAATAAATTAATAACAAAGAAAGTAGAAAGCACAAAACAGTAAAAGTAAAAAATCAAGTCTGAGTCACGCTGAGTCAAAAGCCAAAGAATGGAAATGAGTTTTGAGACAAGTTTTAAAGATGGGCCGAGATGGGCTTGCCAAATGTTCAGTGGGAGGAGATTCCAAAGAGAGGGACCAGAAACGGAAGAGGCTCGGTTCCCTCTGAGCCTCCACTTAGTTCTTGGTATCTCTAATAGTGTCTGGGCACCGCAGACCTGAGGCACCGGTTTGGTATGTAGGGGTGGAGGAGCTCAGAGAGGTAAGGTGGAGCAAGGCCATTTAAAGATTTGAAAACAAATAATAAGATAAGAAAACCTTTATTGTCTCACAATGGAGAAATTTGCAATGTACAGCAGCAAAGTTCGGTGGGAAGAAGTAGAAAAACAAGAAAAACATTTAAAAAAATGACTGTACACAATTGTTAGAGGAATCCATGAGTAAAATTGTATCATGTTTAAAGTTTCATATAATTTGGGGACGTCTAAACGTTTGGGTGCGTATCCAGCACCCCCCAAATGCCTGTGCACAAAGGCGCCGGCCACCTGGCCGGAGGACTGTTGAAGTCCACAATTAGCACGTCAATGCAGGTGGGCGATCAGAGGAGAGAGGGCTAGACTCGGTCACAAAGGGGGAATGAATAATTCGGGAACAGCGGTTGAACACCAAAAGACGATTTGAGAACACCCGTCGTGCCCAGGCGACATTCATCGTCCGCAAAGTCTGCAACACGTTGATTCAATGTAGACCAGACAGAAAGGCGCCAACGTACCGGTGGTTCAAAGCTTAAACACAGGTAACCAATCACTACCGAGGGGCTGGACCGGAGGTGCGGCATGCAAATACCAGGGGCAGTGTTTTTCTTGTATTTTGCATATGTTACAATAAAAGGTCGAACTCGCGTAGGGCGGGGCTCTGAGTGTGATCGCGGAGCAACTAAACCGTATTTCTTTAACTTTGTCTGAGAAAAAACTCTGACAACAGTACAGAATGCAATATAAAAATACAATATATAACATATAAGCATTTATGCAACTGTGTATGTGCTGCATCAGGTGGCTGTGCTATTTACAATGGGTGAGTGGGGGAGAGTCTGTAATGAGCCAGACAATCGCGGACTCGTCAGAGAACTTCTGAAGGTGGCAGCTTGGAGTGATGTAGCTGAAGTCCGAGGTGTTGAGAGTGAACAGGAATGGAGCCAGGACAGTCCCCTGCAGCGCCCCGATGCTGCAGAGAAGCCTGTCCGACTCACAGCTCTGTGCCCTCACGTACTGTGGCCGGTTTGTGAGTTACCGTATTTTCCGCACTATAGGACGCAACAAAAAGTTTTCCATTTTCTTAAAAGCTCACCGAGCGCCTTAAAATCCGGTGTGTCTTTTGTATGGTCATTACGGTAATACGTCGACTCCAAGATGGCTCCTTCCTGGAAACATGCTTCCAATGTTATAACTTGCTGTTCGTTCAGTGAACTGTGTCGCTGCTTTATTAAATAAGTATGTGTTGCAGCTCCGAAAAAAGGAGAGCTGTGGTGTTAATTTTTTAAAACAGTCTCAACAAATACAGGTACAGTCAAACCTCGGTTTTTGTACATAATCCGTTCCAGAAAACTGTTTGAAAACCGAATTGTTCGAAAACCGAAACCATGTTTCCCATTGGAATCAATGTAAAAAAAAAAAAATCCGTTCCAAGTCAAGAAAACAACTTTTTTAAACCACTTTTTTTTTTTTTTTTTTTACAATTTTACACCATAAACTGTACACATGTAATAAGAGAGCAGCTACTATGTAAAATTCTGTACAAACAAACTGTAATATGTTTTATTTTCACCAATTTTAACATTAACATTGCAACATAAAAATTGAAGGAACATCTCTCTCTGTCTCTCTTTCTGTCGTGGGGCGTGCGCCTATCCCAGCTGTCATCAGGCAGATGGTCTTTCATTTTTAGGATGCTGCTGATGGTGGATTTCAGCATCCCGGACTCCTTAGCCAACACAGGCACACGCACACCTGACTCATATTTTCTGATCAAACTTTTCTTAAATTCTATAGTTTTGCGCACTATTTTCCTCTTTTCTTTACCAGGTTTACTGTCACATAATAGGCTGTTATTATATGAGTAGTGCTTTATGAAAGTTTGCACTGTGTACGTCATACTCCAGTTAATCGACAGGTCCCGCCTATAAGGGGGAGTTCCAGGAAGTAACTGTTAGAGTGAGCACACTGCATGTTTTACTGCTCTGCCACATTGTTATTAAAAGTCACATAAAACGTGAACCTTGCCTGCTGACCATCATTACATTTACCACTTCCACTTGCTTTCTTTGGTGCTATGATTAGGGGCTGTTACACGATGCAAAAATAACAGTCCGATATTACATAGTTCTCAGCAAACACGTCTGCTTTAAAAAAAAAAAAATCTTTATTAAACAATACAAACTCGTCTGCTCACAATAGACGCTACACGAGGAAGCGTCTCCCCAAACACGTCTGCTTTTTTTTTAATTTATTGAACAATACAAACTCATCTGCTCACAATGGACGCTATACGAGGAAGCTGTTTCTGTATGATTATTGCATAATAATGAGACACCGGACACCAGAGTGTTCATTATATGCCGCTCTATTGAAAACTGCCGGACTTACAACAAATGCACGCACTTCCCCCCTGCTGCTGGGGCAAACCATTCTGAAAAGAGGGGGGTTTCACTCCCCCTAACAGAAATGTCTCATCAAACACGTATGCTTTTTTCTTTTTAAATCTTTGTTGAACAATACAAACTCGTCTGCTCACAATGGACGCTACACGAGGAAGCGTTTCACCAAACACGTCTGCTTTTTTAAAAAATCTTTATTGAACAATACAAAAACGTCTGCTCACAATGGACGCTACACGAGGAAGCGAAGCCGAGAGGGGTGAAGTGACGCATTCAAGTGCGCTCAGGTAGTTCGAGAACCGAAATTTGTTCATCATCTGAGGCATAAAAAACTGAAAATTTTTGTTCGAAAACCGAATTGTACGAGAACCGAGACGTTCGAAAACCGAGGTTTGGCTGTACGTCTTTGTCCGTCTCCTTCCCTTCTTTTCTTCCGTTCGACTCGAGAGGCGTTCAAGACCGCCTCCGAAAAAACGGAAACTAACGATTACTTCCATGAAACTACAAAAATTGAAAAT